AAAAAAAAAAAAAAAAAAAAAAAAAAACAAATTGAGCATTGGAAGCCAAAGTACAACTAATTAGCAAAGACTTCAATTACGTAATACGTGCAACAAGAATATACAATTTTTTATGTAACCCTTGAAAGGAAAATTTCAAAAGCATACATTACCAAACAATTCAGATTGATTGGCCAATAAGTATTAACAGGTCAACAAGGCAAACTGTGCAAGACCAAGTCCAAATTGTGTTACATGACATTTTCGACAGTTTCAACTTTCATCACAAATTGCCGTATCAGCCAGCTAAATCCAAACACAATAAACTATAAACAAAAAGAGAGAGAGATTCCATTTTTATCTATTTGTGATTTTCTTATATGCCGAATGGCATAAAGCATCAATAACTCCGATATGCAACACCAATGCATCATAAGACTGAGTGATATTGTATCAATAATATAATTATAAAAAAAAAAATTCAATAACCGTAGAAATACATGTACCAATAGGCAATAGCTGTAGAAATGTCAAGTTAGTACATATATACACAAAACTTGTCTCAGAGTGCAACAAACAATTAAGGAGGAAAAAAAAATGCAGACCCTTCATGAGGCCTCTCACACATGCCCTCAATGTTGTTGTTGCAACTGCACAACCCCATTTTTCAACTCACCAACACCACACACCAAAACACCACCAAAGCACAGAAACAGTTCTGCTGAGTGGAGACACAGCTTTGCAATCACAACATCATCATCTATATTCCCAAACACTCAATTCACCAACCATGAGTCTCTTCCATCACTCCATGAATCATTCAATGAGTTCACCAAAGTGTACCCTCAGTATTATGAGACTGAACAAGTGGACCATGTTAGAGCCAAAGACTATTCCCACCTCTCACTTTCAAACCAAACTTGCCTTGATTACATTGGCATTGGCCTCTTCTCCTACTCCCAACTTCAACACCATGACACATCTAAAAACCAACTAGCCTCATCTTCATTTCCTCAAGCACCACCTAATTACTCAGACTTTCCCTTCTTTAGCATATCCTGCAAGACTGGGAGCCTAAAGACTTTGTTGCTTCATGGGGGGCAAGACTCAGAATATGAGGCTGCAATGAGGAAGAGAATCATGTGTTTCCTTAACATATCTGAAAATGATTACTTCATGGTTTTCACAGCCAACAGAACCTCAGCTTTCAAGCTTGTGGCTGACTCATACCAGTTCCAAACCAGTAGGAGGCTTTTGACAGTTTATGACTATGAAAGCGAGGCGGTGGCAGCGATGATTGATTCCTCGGAGAAGAGAGGAGCAAGAACCATGTCAGCTGAGTTCTCATGGCCAAGGTTGAGGCTTCAGACAGCAAAGTTGAGGAAGATGATTGAGAGCAAGAGAAAGAAGAAAAAGAGAAAAGGACTTTTTGTTTTGCCACTTAGTTCAAGAGTAACAGGAGCAAGATATCCTTATCTGTGGATGAGAATAGCACAGGAGAATGGATGGCATGTGTTGGTTGATGCATGTGCATTGGGGCCTAAAGACATGGACTGTTTTGGCCTTTCTCTCTTTCAACCAGATTTTCTCATTTGCTCTTTCTATAAGGTATTTGGGGAAAACCCTTCTGGATTTGGATGCCTTTTCATCAAGAAATCTGCCATTTCCACCTTGGAATCTTCCCCTTCTGCAGGAATTGTCAACCTTGTACCAGAAAAGCAGCCTCGTCATCAAGTATCAGATGATTCTTCTGGCACTGACAAAGAACTTAAACACAAACCAATACCAACAAGCCTACATGAAGAGAAACCATTTCCCTTGCCATCTTTCTCAGGTCCAATACAAACCAAACAATCTGAAACAGTTGAACAAAGAGAACCACACCCAAAAGCTCCTCCGGGTTCTGAGATTGAGGAGGTACAAGAGCCAATTAAGACCCTTGAGAAAAGTAATGTCCAAGAAAGTGACATTCAATGTAGTTGCTTAGACCAAGTGGATTCTCTAGGATTGATTCTCATCACTAACCGGTCAAGGTACCTGATAAACTGGCTGGTGAACTCAATGTTGAAGCTTAAGCATCCCAACACACAAGGGGTTCCTTTGGTAAAGATTTATGGTCCAAGGGTGAAGTTTGATAGAGGGCCTGCTTTGGCATTCAACATATTTGATTGGAAAGGTGAAAGGGTCGAACCTGTTCTTGTTCAGAAACTTGCTGATAGAAGCAACATCTCTATCAGCTATTCATTCCTGCATCATATTTGGTTTGCAGATAAGTATGCAGAAGAGAAGGGGAGAATCCTACAAACCAAAGGAGTTGTGGCAACCAACAAGAAGAAAGACACTGTTGGAATCACTGTGGTTACTGCTGCATTAGGCTTCCTGGCTAATTTTCAAGATGTCTATAAGCTTTGGGCCTTTGTTGCTAGATTCCTTGATGCTGACTTTGTGGAGAAAGAGAGGTGGAGATATATTGCCATCAATCAGAAAACAGTTGAAGTTTAGTTGATTCCATCAATGGGTCTTAGAAGAATCTACAAAGTGTGTATTCTGCTGAAATTTTCATGTATATGGAAATTTGACTCTCCAAGGAGAAAAGGATTACTTAATACTTACGCTATTCATTCATTTGTATGATACTCTGATTGATTCAGAAACTATGGATAATTCATTATGTTAAATATAGTTTGTCTCTGTGTTGTTTTGTCCTAGCATATGAATTTTGGCAGGTCCATAACTCTAGCCGACATTGAAGGGTAATAAATTTACAAGAAGAAAATTGAATGTAAAATCTAATTCAAGGGCTATAAAGGATCCACTTAAAAAGTGCTAGTTTCAGCAGGTGACATTTCTGTTAATGAGAAAATTATGGTCACATTCATTTGCTTGGTTAGTTTATACTCTCTTTTTTTCTTTTTTCTTTTTTAAGTTTGTTTGAGTCAATTCAGTTGATTAAGTTGTGGAACATGAATTGTGAGGGCACAGTTTCAATCCCTAGCATTTCTCTCCACCCTTTTCCATTCTCTTAAAAAGCTTATAAGGAGTCTCTCCGTAAACAAAAATAAATAAAAATAAAAGCATGTTTTCACTAGAAGCATCGCACCATTTTGGCTGGCACAGGTTATAAGCTCTATCTAAAAATGTCCTAGTACTTTTATAACTATGTTTTCTCGATACTTACACTATGTAAAATCTCTCTGAATTTTTTTAAATTTTGTTTTAATCCCTTAAAAAGAATTACATTATTTTATTTTCTCTAATTTGAAAATATATATTTTTTTCTTTCTCAAAGCGATTTAGACGGTGTTTTTACAAAAATATATTATAAATCACTCTAAAGACCAAAAATAATGTACTTTTGGATTACAAAAACTAAAATGGGATTTTTTTTAGAAACTAAAACCAAACTTAAAGAAATTTAGATATATTACTATTAATAATATTATTAACACTCTTTTCAAAGGGCCTTCTGATAAATAATATGGATTTTGTTCTGGAATGGGCTCGACAAAGGCCCAAACACTGGAGGAAAAGCTGTTCCAGTCACACTCATTAGTTAGGTACACGTGGTTTGAGTATTTTAAAATGTTTACATGTTTCCCATTTTTTTATTTTATAAATTATCGTCTTGATTTAAATTTTTTTTTTTTGTTCTTTTAAAGAAAATCAACTTGTGTTTTAAACTTGCACACAAGTAATTAAGAGGTGTGGGTTTATGTACATATAAGATAAGGTTAAGTGGGTCCCCGGAATGCAAATTTATTAATTTCCTTTCTCCTTACGTAGCATGATAATGCCCTTGAGGACTTTATGACCACGAAATTCCAAACCTAAATACGGCCATGTTTCAATGTCTTGTAATTTGAAGTTGTGGTTTTCCTTTTGTTAATCATTTTCAACTGTCTTGTTAAGCCTTATCAATTGTCCATTGTGTCAGACTTAAATCATTTTGATTTTTATTTTGTTAGGAGAGTTGTCAAGTGAATAAAAAATTCGACTAGATTGGGGAATGAATTTTTATATACTAAACATAAAATCGTTATTTTATGTGAGAATATTTTTAATTTTTTTTATTAAGCGTGTTTATAATTTTTTTAATTTTTAATTTTATTTAATTTATTTATTATAGTTATTTATAAACTAAATATTAATAATTTAAAATAAATTAACAATAAAAAAATATATTTGTAGTATAATATAAATTATTTATCATAAATTTAAGACTAAATTATACTTTTGATCATTTATTTTATTTATTAAATTTATTTTGGTGCTTTATCTCTTAATATTTATTTTGCTTTTTATTTTTTAAATTTGAATCAATTTGGTCCTTTTTTAAATAATCATTATTTTTAATTTTGAGACATGATTTTAAATTATATTTGTATTGATCCAAAATTTGAAATTTTTTTTATTAGATTCACTCATATAAAAACTATTGAACATAACTAAAATTTAAATAAAAAAAAGTGTCACAAATATAGTAAAAATTGTGTAAAAAGAAGTCCAAAAGGAAATTGAAAAATTCAAAAAAAAAATTAATTTCATATTGTTTTCTAGTTGTTTATGAAATATATTTTTCACATAATTTTAACTATGTTTATAGCTTTTTAGATTCGAATGTTAGTTGAATTTCATAATTTTTATATAGTTAACTCTAATACTACAAGTTTCAAGGCATGAGTCAATTAAAAATTGATTCAAATTGTGTCGTAAAATTAAAAAATTATTATTATTTTAAAAAGACCAAATTAATTCAAATAATATAAAGGTAAAAGATAAAATGAATATTTCAATAAATAAAAACCTAACAATAATAACAATCCCACAACCACACGATCGAATTTGTCCCCTAGAATAGGTTGATCCTATTTCCTAAAATAGCCAATAAGCTCATGTAAAAATTTGATGTATCTCATGATTAAAATAATATATGAAACATATGATTTCTTCTAAATTTGAGACATACTTGGAAAGATTGGTCTCGAAAGCTAGATGGTACTTGCTGGGTTTACTGCATTGCATTCAAAACTCTAATTGGGATGTCACCATTCCAATTGATTTATGGTAAGCCTTACCATCTATTTGTTGAACTCGAGCACAAAGCCTTGTGGACTACAAAACTTCTTAACTTTGATTTGAAGAACGTTAGAGAAAAAAAGAAGTTGGAATTGAGTGAGTTAGAAGAGTTTCGTCTCAATTTGTATAAAAATGATTGAATTTACAAGGAAAGAACAAAGACAGGGCATGACAAGCACAACCATTCACAAGAGTTTAAGGAGGGAGATCTTATCCTTCTTTACAATTCTAGGATTATACTTATCCTAAGAAAGCTAAAAGATAGATGGTTTGGATTGTCCAAGGTCTAGAAGGTGTTCCCCTTATGGAGCAATTGAAATTAGAAGTGAAGGAGGTTTCTTCAAGGTTAATGACAAGAGGTTGAAAGTGTACCTTAATGAGGAGAAAATTCAAGAGGTGGTGTCAATAGACCATTTTGATCCCCTTTCTTGCAAATGAGTCATAAGGCATTAAGCTTAAGACATTAAACGAGTGATCATTGGGAAGTAACCCAACAATTTCCTTCAAGCCTTATTTCTTGTTTAAATTTACTTTTTCTTTTACCCTTGCTTTTGTGCTTGTTGTTAATTTATTTTTCAAAGGGAAGAGAGAATAGTGATAGGCACAAGTGTGTGATTGAGATGCAAACTTGTGCAAAGAAAATGGTCAAGAAATGACATGGGTGTGCACATCACTCATACACCGATGCAAGCATGAGGACAAGGAAACAAAAACTAGCATGGGCATGCAAACTATCTACACATCTATGCATACATTTTCCTTAGAAAAAATTGAGCCAAAAATGGCACAGGCATGCAACTAACTACATGCCTGTGCGATAGTTAAACATCTTTGCAGCAAGGGTGCCACAACTAGCATTGGAGTGCAACCTTATCGAACACCCATGCAAACCTTTGCCTAGAGTTCCCCTTGCACATGTTAACCCTAATTTCTACCCTCCCTTCCTTATAACTTTATCTACTCTTCCCATGGCCACCTCCTTCTATCATTCAACCTTCACAACCACTCTTCCCCAACCTCCAATCCTCCACTTCCCATCATTCTCTCTAGCCAACCAACATCTTCCCCATCTCAACCCCTATAGCCATCATCCCTCCATTAACTATTCTCCTTCACCAAAAACCAAAAGCAAAACCATGGAGCAAAAAAGGAAGAAGAATGATGGTAGAGCTCGTCTTGAGCAATGCATTTCACTAACAAAAGTATGATGTTCTGCACACCAAACCCTATATCCCTACAAGGTATCACAACTTTGATTGGTTGGACACCTTGGTACTGAACTACAATTTTGATTTCATGCTGAAAAATATGAGGTGGACCCATTTCTCTACAATGGTGGAATAAGTTTACTCTCCCGTGATGTATGAATTTCTAAGTACATCAAAGAGTTTGAATATTGAGTTGAATGAGAGAATTGCATTTGTTATTGCTGTTATGAAAGTAGAATGATACAAAATATTGATCTATCCTCTATACATGAGCCATATTTATATTAGAGGAATAGGTTTAAGACTAGTTATTATAACTGACCACAAGCCAGTTATAACAATCTAACAATAACACTTGCAATAGAAAATAGAAATACATGAAAATATGAATTGAGAAATGATATTACACTAATGTGTGTAAACTTGGATGACCTAATCGACTATGCCAAGTAAGAAAAGAAACATCACTTTTAGAGATATTGGTATCTGAATAATAAATAGTACAAGTAGTGGGTATATTATTCTAGTAAAGAGAAGTTTAAGTAAGCAAGTTGTGGAACTCATACAAGCCATCTGCTCCATATCATCCGCGCATCAACACTTTATGTGTAGCTTGAGATTTCAAAATACATACATTAGGATGAAACTCAAAATATACTAAGTTATCCATTCAAGATGGAGCCGACTAGGAATTGAGCATTCATTACTTCCTACAGATGTATAGGGTAATTGGCCTGTGGGGGCACAATAGGTTGCACTTCAACACACATTCTTCAATGGGGAATTTCCACATATCAAGATTTCTTAAGGAATACTCCGGCTTTGGAAGTCTACGGAAAGTAGGATTACCCTTCACAAAATTCAGAATGACAAAATAGTGCTAATGAGAATCCAATTCATGCATTGCTTTAACATACTTAATACAACCCATTGAGTAGATTGTGGCAAGATCAATGATAGTTAGGCCTTGCAAGAGATCAAGTTGGTCAAGGAAGTGATAAAAACCCAAATATTTGGCAATAAAGGCAATGAGACCTCCTTTGCCAATAGAAACAAAATAGCAGAGAGAAGAAAATATTTAATTTAAGAAGAAGAGAATACGGAATTGTATTTTATTCATTAGCCAACTTTACATTTATAATACTTGAAAAAATAAAAAATCAGTAAACACCAATATTTCAGCAAAAATTAGATAAAACAAACTAACTTTCTCCTAGAGTGTAGGAACCACTTATTGCCTAAATCACAAAAAAATTTGAAACAAAAACATATAAGTATAACCTTTAAACATTATGCAGTTCAAAAGCAAATAATTAACACTCATCCTTGCTTGAAGATCTGCAAATTCCAATCTTCTGCCTTAAAAGCTCAAACTTGCTAATTAGAGGTGGCTT